TACCGACGTCGTACACTACGGTTGGACGATAACGCAACTTGCATGCTTGAGGACTGGCTGAATTACAAAGATGTTGTAGCCAACACTATGTTTTTCTGTACGTTTTTGATTTTACACCACAATCACTTTGCCTGCTTCTCCTGTTTTCTCACTTACGACTCTTGTGTTCAGCACATTCGAGTGCCGTTAGTTAAGCATCGTATTCTACCGTAATTAAAAGTGGGATTGAACAGTATCAATCTAGTGTAAACTGCGATATATTTTGTATTGATCTTCAGAATACATTTGATAATTTCACAGTAACGTCTAATCACTCAATTTTGATACACGTGAAATCGGCGTATGAAAACAGTTAATTTTCAAATGATCGATTGTATTACCATGATGTGATGTCTGAATTAATTATTGATTCTTTTGTACTTGTTGAATGCTTGATTTCGAATTGTAAATACAGTACATTCGTTTGTGCTTATCTACTATTTCTTGATCTGATTACGTTATTTCTGTGATTCCTAGTTCACACTGTAATTCAAACAATTCGAAACATTATACATGACCATCAGAAATCACGCATACTTGAGATTAAGACTATCCGGTAGTGAAAACAGAAGCTTAAGATGTGTAGAGTCCTATAGCAGTTCGGAGTTAAATGAAACTCAGAATCCTTGTAAGACAACGGTTTCTGATCAATAAATTCGTCAGAATTCTCATGTTATTGTGCAAGCTATGGCTTTTCTTAATGAGTCACATATTTCTGATGAAATTCCTTGCAAATTTGTAGAAAATATGTTGAGCGACTCAAATCATGATCGAAAACCTTATGTAGTTTTGATGGATGCTGGTTTTTCTAATGATCTTTTGCTCTGCAATGACATTCTTAATAAATTTGAGGAAACTATTCAGAAAAATCAAATCTTGATGTCTTATCAAATATTATTTGTCCCCATGATTCATTTGTTTCTTGTGGGAAACTTGTGCAATGCGAACCACGAGTATTAAATGAGCTCGATTCTGATTACAATTCAGATGATTTCATATCAACTGCTGTTCATCCTTATCACAAATTCACTTCCAATGTACACTCTAATCAATGTGAGAAATAAATATCCCAAATATTATTTCCTGATGAAGGATAGTGTTGAAAAATCTATGGTTCGAATTCTAGATATTAACGATTTCATTACAAAATCAACATGCTGATTGTATACAATTTCAGGACCCAGGAGAATCTGTTCCGATTTCAGTTGTTAATTCTAATACTAATGAGTGTATTCTAGATAATCCAGAGTTTTTATCCAATACATTGTCGGACAGACTCAGAGTGAACTTGAGAAGAAGACGTACAACTTATTACAGACAGTTACATTGCAATTTAAGCCGTGGCGGATGTGGTGTTTGAATTAACTAATGATTCTTTTGTACTTGTTGAATGCTTGATTTCGAATTGTAAATACAGTACATTCGTTTGTGCTTATCTACTATTTCTTGATCCGATTACGTTATTTCTGTGATTCCTAGTTCACACTGTAATTCAAACAATTCGAAACATTATACATGACCATCAGAAATCACGCATACTTGAGATTAAGACTATCCGGTAGTGAAAACAGAAGTTTAAGATGTACAGGTTCGGAATGTGTTACATCATTGTGGCGGTTCGCATATAACTAGCTATTCAGTGCATCAGAGTCACACGTTGTGACGTACATGAACAAAGTTAGACGAGAGAACGAGAAGAAAAACGATTCGACTGCTCAGCAGGTGCAAACGCTCTACGTAAGTTCAATGCTGAAAGAGAAATACAACAATCAACAATAGCACAGGCCCCAGAACTGATAAATGAAACTAGAGTCAGATGAACCGAAGTTATGAACACGTACTGCTATCTGTTAAAGAATGGGAAATCAAATGCGGACGAACAGGTAAACCGCAGTGTTTAAATTAAGGTCATGAGAGATAAAATAACTGGAGAGTTTTACGAGAGTTAAAAGAAAGTCATTACAATAATAAGTGCAGAAAATACAATTGGTTTGATTATTTTATGAAACCACACAACAAATAAAAATGACCTACACCATAAGTTCGGAAGCTGTTAGAAACGTAACTGTGAAATTATGTTAAATACATGAAGTGTGGACAAACTTCATCATGCTCAATCTTCCTAACGTCCTCGATAAATGTGCTTCTGAAAGTGGCTCATGTTATTTCTAATCTTGACAGAATGTGATTGAATTTCGCTTTCAGTAGGAATGTCGAACAAACAACAATCAATGTTTATTCTGTTCATTGTTGGTGAGACAGTTGTAAATTATATCGTCTCCTAAAGGCTATCGTTGTCTCAGTGAACCAAACTTAACTTTCAATCTACATCATGCTAGTCATAATTTGTACATAATATGTTCTTGTGTAATATACATAAAATATTTGTTGAAAACGTTGATTCTCATTTTGGTTTTCTATTTTCATTTCATAATACCGTGGACGTAACCAGATCGAGTTCATAATTGTCGAGACACCGTAGCGAACTGCTTCCTGTAAACGTACAAGGGAAATCTCTTTACTGTACAGGTACTTCATGGTTCTGCTGGATACTTTCGTTAATAACACGCTAATCTTCTGATCGTGGCTAAGCATGTTTTGAAATCATTACCATCCTACAATCAGAACAAATCTAAATGCTGATGACAATATCAATTGAAGTTAAATCATTTGTAACAAATATGTGTTCTGCCTTCGGTAGCTGTCACTTTCAAATTTAGTCTCGCGTTGCGATTTTGACTCGCGTAGCTACAAAAAGGTCACAACACTTTGGAACAGTACGTATTATGTGTTTGTGTAATATCTACATGACATTTGAGGAACCGTTTCAAATATGTACCTGAAAGTCATGCTCATGACGTCATAAAGGTCAGCAAGTAATAGGAGTGAATATACAAATAGTGGGAAATATATCTTGGTGAAAGGAAATATGACAAAATCGTGAAAACTTTGTACATTGGTTTGTTGTTTTTATCAATTGCGTTCATGTAGGCAACCGGTTTTACACTGAGCACTTTTTAACACGTGCACTATGGTTCTCATTTCGGATATATTTTGTTGCGGTTACACGTGGCAGTTAAGGTTAAACTCTGATGAGAATGTATGAAATCGTATTGCTTTATTGCAACGGGTTTATAAAGAACATAAATCTTTAACTGAACAGTAAATCTATTGGTTACCTACTAAAAGATGCAATATGTTTATAAGAGTATATACGGAACAAACAAATCATACGAACATCTAACTAGTTTAGGGACAGAATTTATTTAGTTTTGTGTGTTCCCAACAGAATTGTTACAATCAAGCGGTGGGAATAATAATGTCTATTGCTTGGCAGTGAACCTTATTACATCTCTCCAGGACTCATGACAGCAAGTTACCAAATAGAACAAGTGGTCTTCACAATCAAGGGGCTTGTATCGGTAGTAAAAGGAAATTCCGTTCACTTATCACAAAAACACAAAAATCACTAACTGCTAATATTATCTTGGTGTATGTTCATAGGCTATGTACGGATAAAGTATTACATATTCTTACACAACAAATCAGTTATCATAATTTTTAGATATTGAAACTATGCTGAGAGATTATTTTGGTGAAGCGAATTGAAGGACAGTAAGTGACCTGCATTTCTCTTTTCATAATTAGGAGATTCTTGACTGGTCTTCTCCTTCGTCATTCATCATTGATTCTTATGTAAAGAAGAACTTCAACATGTTTTGTAAGATGGCGAAAATGACTGATTTTTGTTTACCTACTGACGTAATATTCTAACGCAGTGTGCTTCTAGTTGTAGCGTTTACAAGAAGTGTGTTCCCAGAGAAATATTTTGCGAATCTTCTATGATTTCTTGAGAACCTCTTCAGTGCCACAAGATCTTCTTACGAAATGTCCATAACTGGTTTCACGGTTTTCCTCGATGCAGAAACGAAATTACTTAGCAGCATTAAACGTGCGCCTGTTTGAGTGAAAAGTACATTTTAAGACTGGTCCACCACAAATCATCATGATACTCTTCAGTGGCATTGTGTATCTATGATTTGCATAAATTCCAGTCAGGTAATTTGGCAATTGTTAAACTTCAGAAATCTATTTAATTGTGCTTTAAATCACATTCTACCTATATGCAAATATGTGGTAAGCGTTTCGTTTTCGTGAAGCGACAATTCTTCTTACAAGTCACAGGGTTGATGATGTTCCTGCCTCCCGTACCACGTTTCCAAAAACATATATCAGGAACGCCGTCGTCTGAAATTTCAACACACAAACGACTTATTTGATCCTCACATTTATATGGATATTGTAGAAACGAAATTTCGGAATAATTCTTCCACTGGATTAAAACCATATTGTTCTCGTTATTTGACCCGTCAGAATCGATTGATCCGACTGCACCAATCAAATACTGGACTCCATTTACAGTACTAAAAGGTTTATTTTTTGAAGAACTGAAGTGATACATTACAATAGTTTTAATTACGGAATTCACTAAACAGACAAACGAATACTTTTGCACACACACTAATAATATTTTCTTCTAAAGAATACATTTGCGCACAGGATTCATTACCGTACCACTTTCACATTGGTATGTTTCTGAAAATCCTTGACTGTGTTTCACAACATCGTTCACACTGAAAACGAGAAAAATTGGAATGAAATATGTGGAACTATCAATGGAAAACTTAGTGTGCTATTGTGGTAATTCATTCATGAACACACTACACAGTATTTGTTGAAATGCATTTCATGTGAACGATTGTAAGCTAATCATTTGCATACGTTGACGCACACAACCATATATGCACTGTTTAAGCCACAGTTTAAATAATTGAATGTTTGTAGTATTAGTCTTGGCTGTATTAAGTAATCGGGTAAAAATTATGGATTACATGATAGATTTGACAGACGGAAACTGACTGACAATATTTTAAACGTCATATTATGAAAATACACAGGAATTACATGTATTCGTAGTCTTGGATAGACGACTGTGATTTGCGATCAATAATATGTGATAACAAGCCGCCACACAACATCTTCAGTTATTAGGAATATGCAAAAAAAGAAAATAATGAATAATGTGTATTACTACATTGTAGTTATAATTCATTGAAGATAACTAACAATCATTTCAATACGTCATGAGACACGAAAGTTATTTCGAGAAAACTAGAAAGAAGCTTTGAACCGTGTTTTCCTACAAATGAAGATAAAAGACGCACTGAAACACTTTGTGATCTATTATTTACTTAAACAAATTAGCCTACGCCAAAATCATCTTATTCATTTTTGGTTCTGTAAGATGTGATATGCTTGTTGTATTATAGTGAACCACTGTTTTTTTTATAGTGTTATTAGATCTTGGACGGGAGGCAAAATCCGACTCACACGTCCGCGTCGTGCCTCCTGGATAGTGGGACTAATGACTCATGTACTAACGTGAGCGGTAACCCTGGTGGTGGAGTTCGAGCTAATCACTCACTCTTACCGACACCCACCAATCGATTACCAAACCCACAGAGAAATATAGCACAATTACATTTGGAATGGAAAATGACAAAAATTTTTCGAAAGTGGTGTATGTATCATATGGAGTTGCTCGTCATCTGGTATACTCCAAAGGATTGCAGAAACAAGTATTCTGACCCCGGTGGGTGTGTCGTGCTTCGATGTGGCCTGTTTCTCTCCAGAAGGGCCTAATAGGTTTCACCAACTTGTTTGTCTGAAATAGGGGTGAAGATCTTGGACCGGGGCTGTCAACGGATGAAAATATTCATTATGATTGATATATTAAACGCTAAAAGTGAAACAGATTGACCTAGTTCAGCCTGTTATCACCGACTGCTTGAAAATCAACACCAAAATACTGAAATCATGAATTCTCGGTACGTCTGTCTGCTTTGGGAATTTTATTTGTATTCTTGTAGCTGGATTCAGCCATCAGAAGAGACAATTTAGGTTGAAAAGCGAGATAACGGAACCTTGGTGACGATTGAAAGTTTCAACTTTTCTGTTCACCTGCTCAACAATCTCTGTTCCAGATAGAAATTCTCATGGGACACCTATAGATTATTCCGTATTATTCGGTCAACAAAATCTTGTTAGTATAATGAGAACTATTTAAAATAATGCATCTGTGTTCGCACAGTGACTCTATTCAATTGAAAATGATTTCGTATATGCAAAAATGTTATGATTTATCAGCAAACCTCATCATTCAAACATTACCGATCTACTACGGTTCATTTCTCAAGTCGTATACTCTGTTTACTCAAACGTATTTCTATAGTAAGCCTCTTATGTGCATAACATTTCTACTCACGAGATGATTGAAATGTAGTTGTGTTGATATTCTTCTCAATAATAACTATAGCTCACAAAGTTTAACAAGAATCATTGTGAATTGAGTTTCCGATCAAACTAAATTTGAGCGGTCTGCACAACTTACTCTGGCGAATGCTGAAAAAAACATCTTCCTTTCATTTAAGCTTTCAGTATTTCCACTTAAATTTTCCTTGTATATCTGCAAGAAATGTGAGTAAATGAACAATATAGAGCAATTTATATTGGAAATCATCCAGCTGTTGAACAAAGCAGTGCGAAGATAAATGTAGGTGAGAGAGGTTTTTTATAACATCTGTAACACATATAACAGGTTTTCATTTTCAAATTATATAATTTCTTTCGCAAGCGAGATCTAACGAATAAGCGGATAAGGCACTCAAAGCATGTTGAAGCTTTAGGTGCTGTGTGTAGATTGAAATACAACAATGTTTATTTAATAACTATAAATAGTCTTCTTTCATCCATTTGAATCTTCCCGTGCCTCCTGCAATCAGAACTTTCTTTCAGTCTTGTTTTCAAGTGTTCTGCCACACTCGTGCTTCTTGTTTTCTGAATTTCAACGTGAGGGTTCTGATTCCATCACATTCTTTTTCGTTTATTGCCACTATGCAGACTGAAATTTTTCTCACTAACTCACATTCTCGTATACAGTGAACAACTAATGGTTAATCCGACAATCACAAGTGCATTTCAAATAACAAGAGGCATGATACAACGTTTAAATGAGTTTTGTTTCCGCTCTCCGTATTGTCCAACACTTCTGCACTCAAAGAATCTGACACTACATTTCATGCTTATTCGTATCAAGGACATCCCAAAACGCCTTCCACGTTCATAGAAATGACCCCATGAAGAGTCATTCTTGACTTGCTGATCAGTAATTCCCCCATGACCTTCACCTTTGCCTTCATTTTTCCGACATCCGCCGGTTCCCCCATTCCTTCAATGCGTCCATGATAGATCCTATCTACGTCATCTATAAATCACCCGGAATAAGCACTTCAGTGCTTACCTACACTGAAGAACCACCCAAAACTAATCACGGAAGGTAAAATATTTCATGTTCTTCTCTCTGGGATATCAAAAATATATAATCATTTCGTAGTGTTACACAATAACTCAAACACCAGCAAGAGGTATACTGATTGATTGATTCATCACCCTGATGTGAAATACAAGCGTGATCAAATATAAATCGCATTCGTCAATTATTCAGCAAAATTCAAATTCAAACAATGAGATTGCCCAATTCGAACCTAGAGAACACATAGAATGCATGTGTCAATTGTGAATGTTAGCGATTAAGGAATCAAGTGAATACTGTGTTATTTAAGTTTACTTACTTCGAAAGATAACATAAGACCATTTATACCAGCTGACAATTTTTCCAAATTCTAGTTGGCAAGAAAATAGTTGAGATTACATGAAATTTCTATAACGTCTGTGACATATGTATCACGCTTTCAGTTTCAGCTTATATAATTTGTTTGACAAGCGAGATCTAACGATTAAGCAGAAAAAACACTCAAAGCATTTTGAAGCTTTAAGTGCTATTCGTAGATTGAAATACAAGATGGTTACTCATGAGATTGACAAGTTGTTTATGGTTGTGGTACTATCCAAAGATTTTAATTAATTACCTTCGTCATTCTATTTTCATTTTGGAGGAGATATTGAGTATCTTAGAGCAGTATTGGACAACTAATTGTCAGATCACTTCTTCGCAAACAACCGCTCATATATGTGATCCACTGCATTTGTTGGAATTGTTAAACACAGAAAAGTTAATTGATTGTGACAATGTCAGCTTAAAACATCAAGCGAGTCAAAGGTTATCACGTTTCGTGGATCCTGACATGAGATTAACTAGTAGCACCTGCCATTCCTGAACTAACTACATGACACTGTACTAGGTCCACATAAATTCCTATTGTGTAGAAAACACACTGTAAAGCGTTTTCTCAATTCAAGCTTTTAATATTAACGGCACTAATCCCACAAAAATTGACAACGACAACTGTGAGAAAATAGACGCGGCAAAGCGTCAAGTGTTTTCATTTCGGTCTGAATTTCAACTGAACTCACGCATCGACTGAACAAAATTTCATATTTATTCTTTAAATTGGTATTTTTAGCAAGTTATTGATAATATTATTCACTTCTGGCTTCAAACATTTTTCTATTTCGATGAAAGACTGATTGATACATCAATCATAAAATATGTACAGATGACAAATGCATTATATCTCTGCATTTGATTGCCATATTATTCATTAAACTTTGAATGAATAACACCTTTCGTTTACCAGCCATTTTTCGGCATCTAACTTCAAAATTGAAATGCCGAAGACTGTGTGAAGATTCGAAAATTCGTGGATTAAAATAACATTTGAATTTGTCTTACTTCTTTCTGAAGTCTACCAGAGTTGATTTGTGCTGATAAACAACACAGTTGACTTCGGAACGGTGTAGAAGCAGTTGATCCACACTCCGGCTGATATTGCGTTTGTTCTATTAGCTGATTATCTCTGAAAGCTGTAATGAAAATATCCTGAGTTTTCGAGAATTAATATAACGTGAATTTCAAGTAGGATGATTACTGTAAAGTTCAAAATTGATTTGAGTGTAATCAATATCATGTGTGAACAGCGTCCCTTATATTATTAGCTAATAAGACAACACTTCAATGAAAAACATTACTCTCAACAAGTCAACATTTGATGGACTACAATCGTATATCTATACCCATTGATATTGAATATTTACATCAATATCTTACTGTCTATCACATTGCAGATGCACACACTGACATATCAAATCACTATAGCTACACATAAATTCTACTCGTCACATTCAGAAGAGAATATTTCACCATCAATATTTGAAATATTCAGAATATAAACTTCTGACCTGCAGAGGAATCAGTCTTCCTAGATCTAGTAGGATCACAGAAACAGTTCACATACACACATATTTCTCAATTGTTCGTGACCGATTCCCAGTACCTGAGTGCGATAACATTGTGAATCAGAGAGGGGAGGAACGGATAACTTAAAACATACCTGCAGATATAATCTGTCGGCCAAGAAGCCATCCGATAGTTCCATACTTTTCTGATGTCGAGTGTGGTGTATTCAGAAATGGTGGATGTAATAACCCAGAAGTCATAACCACTGTACCACCTCCGTCAATTATAGACGGTTGGAAAGTGAATAAATCAGGTCTAAAAGTTTGTAAATATACAAGGAACATTTGCTTACTCAGAATGATACATTTATTTTTAAATCATGAGAATTGAGTGGACGAGTAAACCTGTCATTAAACTAATTTGGTTTTATATCTCTTCATTGATGATATATCGTATGTTGCTATATACAGTGAATATCCTGTTCTATAGAATAGAGTTCAAGTAGGGTTACCGAATTTAGGAAATTTGAACCATTTAAGCATCATACCATGCAACTATTTGAGATCAACTGTCCTCCTGATGATGGATGTATCTAAAGTTATTTTAAAATAGCAAGATATTGAATCCCATCTAATTATATCAATAAACGTCCGTGATCATATTTGATCGCCTAATTAAATGTGTTTACACTTTTATTGATTAGTTGTAAATTTGCCTTATTTGATTACATTAAATCAAATAAATTATACCGTCGGAAGTTTTGTCCCTAATTGCTGTGCAATTACATTACACTGAAATACTGGCAAACACGTTCCGTTTTATTCTAGTGTTACGACAATATTCTAACCAAAAGAGGATTTCAATGTTGACTGTCAAATAAATGGAATGATGTCATCCATTTTACCACTATTCATAAAATCACTATTTGAAACATAACTAGTTGTGAATTATGATGCTATAAATGGTGTTTGTTCTATGAACAAAGAGTTTATTTTACATGAGAGTGGGTAGTGATTAAAAAGCCATAGTAACAAAATACAACTCACAATTCGTATCCGTGCGAAGTGGCCTTCAATGATGTTAGAAATTTAGCTTTCATCGAGTAGTATGCATTTATAAGATAGTTATTTGCAGAAAGTTTATTCTGAAACAGAATTAAAATGATTTTTTCATTATTTTCAAAGTTACTGATTTATTAAATGAAGGAAACCTTAGTAGTACAGATGTTTCAACATATCAACTTTCATTTCTTTAGATGCAGAATTCATTTCATTGAAATTCCATGGTAGGTTCATAAATTAACGACGACCAACTGACTGATATAGTGGATCAATTTTTCTTAGAAGATCAATTAAAACAATACTGGCATCGGATGTGAAGTATATGAAAAACGATACTAAATAATAGTCCATTTCAAAACGGTTAGTGCATTTTTTATATTTTCACAATAATGTACATTCTGTTGATGACAGTAATAACATACACTGGACAAACATGAAGCAAGCAACTGTGTAAACCATAAACAATTCAATCTTTTGAAGATTGATCTACATATGTTCGGAGATTTGAGGTATATTAAGTGGAATAGCTTAATGGCTTATTGTTGTACAACTGGCTTAATTCAGTTACTTAAATAATGGTAACTGTTAAGGTCACCCAGGACACATTGAAATAATTCCTCTGAATGATGGCACCTCTGTAGAATAATGTGTGAGAACAAGTGAAGTTTCTTTTACTCTCTATATTTCTTTCTTTTAAAAAGTCTCAAATCAAAATGTAATTCACAGACGTAATAGATAATAAATTACGACAGTGAACACGCAGTGTAACATAAGTTATATGGAACAACAAGAATTGAATGAATGATCAGTACACAAACCAAAGTTTGAAAGTATCAATACTGAACTAAATCACATTTCAGGTTTTGTAATCTTAATGCTCAGCAACATTAACTGTTGGGAAACTCATACTAGTTTTTTCTTAAATCTTTTCACATATGTTTGGAAGTATTTGTCAATCAGTTTTTTAATAATGCCATCGAAAGTGAATTGTGAACAAAATCACTCGAAGACTTGTCATTAAAGATGAATACGCAAAACTGAGAACTCGATCAGTACCTCCATAAGAAGAACAAATATCTAAAATACAACGCATTTGAAATTGAAGTTTTGTCTTTACAAATTTACATCACCTCGATAAACTCCACCATGTACAAGTAATTATTGAAATTTATCCGTTTACTCATAGGCGTTCATGAATGTCTGTGATTGTTTCCAAATGACCTTAACACATCATAGCTGGATACTTCAGTTTCGGTTCAAGACAGTTTGATAACATGTACGATGACACATTTATATACTCTTCTAGTCTTTCAATAGTCTTTGTTCCAACTTTTCTTACTTAAGGCTGGAAAATACGATTGTTTGCAATACAGCTTACATTAAAGAACGAAATAGACTCTTTCTAAGTGAAATAGGTGTAGCACGTAAAAAAGAAACTTTAGCAATTGAAAACTTTAAAACAAACACTAAGACGTCTAGATGAAATGGACAATGAAGACGCTACTCAGAATGAGTCAATAAAGCTTCGCAAATGAACCATCTAGCTCGACAGACGCAACACTTCAAATTATGGTGATATATAGCTATATATGTTTATGCTGTTCTTTCGACAAGTTGAAAATAATTACATGAGCTGCATGATGAACAGATTGATAGCAAATCTAATATTTTCTCAATCATAAACACTGAGTTACCTATCTAGCTGAGTCATTGATCATTAAGTTAAGGAATAATAAAATGTTTAGTGTTGCACTTGAGGAACGTACTTCGAGTATTTTATCTCGGCCTTCATATCCCTCACTCAAAGATTCTGAATCCAGTATTAATACTTTGATATTGGAAACCTGAATAATACAATCGGTTATTATTCACAATATCAAAACTAAACAAACCGTTGAAATAGCTTCTTGTTTGTCATCTTCACTGCTCCATGAGCCTTGAGACAATAATTCAGTCAATTTGTGCTTCATTTCGTCAAACATCTGAGTCACCTATTTAGTATAAACAGATATAACGATCAAAGTGCCCAAGTAAAAGAATAAACCTTATCATGGATTGTTCGAATTTTATTACATAACTGTAAAGTAGTTAGGAAAATAATGAATAACGGGAGAATTGATTTACACTCTTTCCTATTATTCAGCATATCTCATAATTGTTCCAGCTGTAGATTAACATAGACTGAGTTAAACCATACAATCCGATTTATGTTCACAGAGAAAGTTAAATTTTCAAACTACGCCTTACACTATGTGCTTGTTTCTTCAACACAATATGTAAATCGTGTCCCTGTAATAACCTGTCATATTTTCAATTATGAACAATAGGTAATTGATAAATTATTGAAATCGGAACTCACTTCATCTTTTGTACTCTTACTTATACTAGAATATTCGTGTTGCTTGTTTATTGTCCACCAGAAATTCTCCTTCAATTCCTGAATGCAAGTTGGTGACTTTTCATCTGAAATGTTTGTTGAAATACATCAACATCTTGTTACATATACTTCAAGTTATAAACAGACAACCTTCAACAACATTAATCGCAACCAATTGAAAGTAACATGACCCACTTCATTCTCAGATCATATGGTTCATGGTGTTCATAATTCGTCTACTGTATTTGGATATTTTCCATAAACGGTACCGCTTGAAATGATAACACAATGTCATGACCTTCAACTCATATGGAAAACCAAATAAACATGTGAAACGACGAACAATCTGACTGAAGCGAAAGACTTGGTGCTTTAACAAATTTTACCATGCAACATGTTTGGATATATAAGGCTAGTTTATTTGCAAGTTAGTTTACAGGCGGCTTGACCATTTCTCCCGATTACTTTGTCCAGATTCGTTTTCCGGCTTTCATTCAAATAAAGTCAACACATGCATTATTGGATGCATCATTAATTAACAAAACGTCATCTATCTGAAATATATTCGATTATGTTTATTCGTCTTCCATTTGTTTTAAAATCAGCTTACAATAAGTCAATAAATAATTATGTTTATTTAACCAGTAATGGTACTCACCAATATCTGAAGGATAAAAGTCTTCGACATATTTCTTCAAGTAACGTCGCATTTTGTACAGAAAATCTATCACTAGCATATTGTGTATATCTCTGCAAGAAACATTACAAACACCACGTACTTCAGTCTTATACAAATAGCATTCAATTTAAAATCGACAGTATTTGTCGTTCGTGAAAGTCGATGTCGATTAATTTCAACATCTAACTTTAACAAACAGACGAGGTAAGGAATGCACACGCTTCGATGAGAAATAAACTAACATAATAGACATTTTTATACACTCTACGTATACATTGATCAAAGTGATTTCATCCAGCTCATTCAACAACCTTATCATTTTCAACTAATTTCATTCATCCTAGACGCTATGAAACCAACTGTGATTAAAGATTGAGAGGATTTTGTGGATGATCGTTCGCCTTCAATCCACATGAAGGTTGGATACGAACAAAATGATTGGTGCATAATGAAATACATGTCAGATTGTGATCATGTTTTCTGATGAAAATAATATCGTCGTTCCGTTTCACGCTTAAGATATATGTAAATACTCGAATTCCACCGGTTATAATCTTGATTTAAGTGAATAATGTGAATGAATCATTCTGTTATTGGGAATATCTACATGAAACAGTATTTGTTATAATTAACACAGACAAATGTCTGAGATTCCCATGCATTGAGCACGTTTTATAGTAAATTACTTTGAAAGTCGTGTACACGAATGAGAACAACCGAATGCAAACAGGATGTGAAAACATGGTACTTATGAAACCGACTTGTTTCAGAAATCATTAAACTCGACTTTGAGCAAATTACTTTCTTCCTTTTTCTGTTATAATTTTCGAAAAGAGAAATTTGCAAGTCTTCCTCAAAGCTTCTTTACGTTGAATATAAACTTCCAAATTTTTATACGATTCATGCGCGAATGCATTTTCAAATAAAACATCCCAATCGATCTGGTCAAAATAAATAATTTGAAATTTATTTACAAATTCAAAGAGGCATCTCGTGCGATTGAAGTTACTTTTAATAGAATAGATTAATCACTGGTAGTATTACACACAAATATCTTAGTTCGATCTAGCCTTCAATCGATCGTTACCTCAAACACTTGAAAATATCGTACAATCTTTATATTCACACACTTGCAAAGTGTAGTGATGTACATTGAATTCTTCAAGTTATTCCTGACGACAATAAGTTAGCAAACTACTGCAAAATAGACCTCATTCACAACTTACAATTGAACAGATTTCCTTCAGATCATTAATACTGACACGTGCATCTCCATCAATCGCGGTTTCCTCCTGCACCTAATACAATATGTCCACACGATAAAAAGTATCAGCTGTTTGATGCATGACATTAGAAGAAAATTAAACATCACGGTTAAGAATTGTGAATGGTTTCAAAACTAGGTAAACACTAATGCTCGGAGTTCTTTAGTTTGGACTGGTCCACAGACCTGCAGTCAATATTCCAATTAATTTTATTGATCTAATTATGCAGTCGACCTTATACGACCGTGATCAGTGTTATCAATTTCTCAGACAGCCTCGTGCTTACAACATTACCAGTGTTGGCCAAATCTACTTAACTATCTGAAATTTATGATCGTTTGTGAATAGAAGGCAACAGTTTCATGGTTATATTTCCGATGTCCAAATCGATTACTGTTTTGTTATCAGCAAGCAACATAACTGTGTCGTTGCAAAGTAGGATATTGAGTGTTCGTGTGCTCACGTATTCATGGAAATTCTGTGTCATTAGTTCCATCTGATGATTACTGATAATTGCCTCTATTTCACTGGCCGAATGCCACGGTTTTCCACCAACTGAATATATGTTCTTGTAAATAACGACTGATTTCACCTTCTACCAGGTACTGTAAATAGTTTATGATACAAATGTGAATAAACCACATCATATCATTCTCTGTGTACTCACATCTTTTATATTCGAGTAAATTTCAAAAACACCGTCCATCATATTTTTATTAGTTTGTAGAGCTCCTACGTTTTCTAAATATTTGAAGATTTTTTCTTTGACTTCACTGTCCATTCGATCTGACTGTTTGCAATGAAAAGCGCAAGACACAAATATTTTATCATCATATACTACATTCACATAAAAGTTCGTGATTTGTGGTTCAAATTAAAAGAATCAATTTCAAAGTTACTCAATCGAATAAAAACGAAGATAGTTTAACGAATGACTCTAAGTATAACGCTTCCTGCAGTGATAGTAGGATGGATTTAGCTGTATGTTCTTGTCTTGTTAGTAACAGAGACTATGGAAAATAGATTAAGATGTTTCAGTATATCATGTGCACATGTTCAACTCGACACATAACCATCATGATGCCGAGATAAAACACCATGAGTGTGATGAAGAACACCACGTATGAATGCTTCATAACATAACGTGGACCAGTGTAAGATAACGTTAATGACCAAGGATTATTGTCTGCATGTTTTACTGAAAACTGAGTTACAGGTGGTAGCCTTCTCTCTTATAAGTTTACATACAAACTATGAGGGTCTCACCCATCAAATGGACGTGAAGTCAGAACAGACATATTAGGGTAAATAGAAGGCTGAAACGTTCTTGAAAGACGTCAGAAGACAAATGGGAGCCTTTACATCTTCAAATCATCGCCTGGTTGTGGTCATACAAAATATGGTCATGAAAAATCACTGGAAAGTTGTACAGGTGATACATCAAACGTTCAGTACATCCATTAATGATTACGAGAAAGCATTCGATAGCATGCACATGGAAACCTGATGAAATCTTCTTAGGCACTATGGAGGTCAAGAGAAGATTATCACTATCACAGGAAACGCGATCAACAGACTTGGTCATGAAATTATGTATTGACAACACTCCACAGATCCATGTTAATTGAAGAACAGTTCCAGGAAAGACTCACGAATCTCATATATTCTCTTTCGGCTAGCTGTTCTTTGGATTGTTGAGGCTTACACATCACACGATATGCAGTTTGATGATTCGGATCGACGAAGGTGAATCAATTCTCATATCACATGCACAGTGAGAAACCAACACACAGATGGCTATCAAGGAGTTGACTTCAACTTTCAAAAGTGAGAAAGTGAGATCGTGAAATGAAACACACAATTTATGAAGAAGCTGTGTACGAGATGAAATACTTGCACCAACGAGGGACGAACAAACAGGACAAGGAGAAGGTTCCTGGAATTGAGGTTGACCTGAAACTGAAAGGAACTGTTACTCGTGACCAAAAATGGAAATTTCAACATTAATTTCACAATGATTTGATTATGCAGATCAGAAACTCGGATAACTGTCGAGGCTATAAGCAAAAGTGTGTATGTATATAAATAAATAACGGTCTATTCAAGATACTCCGAACCCATTGACCGTAAATTATCACAGATCACCTACCCTGATAGACAATAGACAATTGATCAGTTGATTAGAAAATTAAGAAAACATACATAAAAGACATTATAGGACACTCAACTGAAAGTCGCCAAAGCAAAATGAAAAATAACAGACCAAAATTCATCAACTATAGCAAATTACATACACATATCAACACTCGGTATCACCCGAACCAACATCAAAGTAGAAATTTGACTGAATATCTTCAGTTTGTGACCTATATCAAATAACGATCACTCGATTTACCAAACGCACCTTTACTGACATTCAAAGCTATAAACTTTCTTAGTCAAATCTGCTTTCATAGACCCATAACAATGTTTACTGAATTTTTTTCTTGTTCGATTTACGAATCTCAACTGGTGAATGTATTTAATCGTCGCAATGATCTACATACTTGTTAAGTTCGATTTTTCTCATTCTGTTTACTCGTGTGTGTACTCTCTCGCATTTCCCATTATTTGTTCAAATAAGCTTAATAGACCGTCTTATGTGATGCTTATCGCAACTAGAAACATAAAAATTGATATCAAGTAAGGGTTTTGTGGATATTATGGTAATTTAGTAGTTGATTCCAAGACCGGTAGATCTTGTGTTCGAATCACGGGGACGCGCGTTACTGAGCAGTCCCATTCTAGAGAAAAACAGCCGTCCACTGCTTCCAACTTTACAATAGTGGTCTAGCTTCGATTGACTCGCGACTTCAACCATTGAAATATTCGAATTAAACGAATAATAGAATTTTCCAAATCACTGCAATAAAAATGATTATATCGAAATGTTTGTTTCATCGTACCATGTTTAATTTCTCCCTGTCAAATGCATCGAGCGATCCTGGTCCAATCTAGAAGGACAAATTTACATTCACGTTTAGAAGGAGTGAAAATGAAAATTCTCATAAACACAAGTTAGTGTCAGAAACCATCAAGTCCTCATTTACAAAATATTTCATTCAATGTGTGCTATGCACTTGTATGACAGCTCTATTCGCACGTTAGGAAGAGAATAAACATATCTGATTTGCTTAATTAGATGACGTCAGTTGCACAATAAAATGGTGCTTCATTATCGAACAAAGATGAACCAATTTTAAATATCAGCAAACAAATTTCGTTTTGTAACTGCACATGTCCATGTGGCCGTCTCATTCAAGTAAGTGAAAATAAGAAATTGAACGAAGTAATTGGAGGTAAACAAATCAGTGACAGTTATTTGTACTGATTTCGTTCATCACGAGTTATCTGAATCTCAACTGTGTCTAGCGACACAAGCTGCATAAACTGATAGAAACAACCGACAGAATGAAGTCAAACTCCTTCTTTAAAAAAATAAATTTTGCTGAGCTATAGAACAGTGGGCAAATCTGCCAAATTGGACTGCAGGACAAACCATTAGAACAATGTACTGTGGTTTATGACTATATGACAGTCTGTAGCCAAACTCGCCAACTGACTACATGAGACGTTGCTCAGGGAAATTTCTTGATCGCTCAAATTCTATTCAATGTCTATCGACATACGCGATAACCTGTTCAGTGATTTTAGGGGTTTCCGGACGAATTTCAGTTCACTAGCATTCTAAGCTGAACAGAGCATCTAAACTATGTATTTGGAAGTACATAGTGCATGAAAATAATCAAAAACATGTGGTGTTTGAAATCTTACATAAATCATTGAATTATCCTCTTGAGAATAGTCTTCGATTAGGTTCAAGGAAAACAAAGTGGTTCTTCCACTTTGAAATATCAATGGTAAAATTGAAGCGGTCAGATTGAATTTCCGACTTCTAAGAAATTTTTCTGTGAGATTGTGCTGCTGTGTGTCATCTGATGACATCAGCCATCCACTGAAAAGTAGTTCTATTAGATCAATAACTTTTGTAGTAATGAACTCGTTTTTCACCGAGAGGGCTTTGGTGCATGTTTTGTAGAACATTTCAGCTGCTTTGATATTCGGTACATCTTGGTACTCCGTTATTTCTACTAAAAGCGAAAGAAATTCATTAATTGAGAATGTCATATGGGTTTTAGTGGCGGTTGTCTATTTACTACACATTTACATTGATGGTATTACATGATGGTCTGTTGTAAACTGCTCCATACAAACGTGTCTAAGACATTCGATTCCAATGATTATCTGGTTCTATTTCATATATCAGTCATCTAGTTTATACATGCGAAGGAGAACGCTGGATTCAGTTGGTGAGATCCAGTCATACAAATCTGAACAGTTCATTATTGTAATTTTATTATGTTGACCAGTACTATTCGTTTGCTATTACCCGATTCGATGTTTAAGATGTATCATGTTTTTTAGACAGAAAAAAGTGTATTTATTTCGGAGATCACTATATACCTCATAGATAATGGTTTGCTCACAATAAGAAAGACTTCCAACTACCTCGTTTTTCAACAAAATAACAATATTCACAATAACGAAAAAAACAGAACGAAAACAATGACGTATTTGTTTGAACTGCTGGGCTTGATTTTGATTGCAATTGTGCATAAAACGTTAATAGTACATGAAACCTTAAGTGAAATGTTAGATATTTAACGAGTTGAACGGTGGTAACCCACATTTATTCATTGCAGTGCATCATGCTATTAAAACTATAAATTATGTCCCTCATGTTAGCATTAACTTTCTGGTCATTATATTCATTCAAGCGTACCGTCTCATTTCAACAAACTTGTTCAATAATGTTGGGATCCAGTTTTCATAAATTCCTTCTACCATGAGTTCAGTACAAGAGTTGAAAATCAGCAAGACAAAAGGCGAGTATGACATCCAGTTTTTTACTCATGAAAACTAGTTGCTTCGGCCTCAATTCTCCAATTCGTTGAACTCAACACAACCCTTCACGGTGGAGTAAGAATCAGAAATAGCGTTCATTTTTAAATATAAGTAAAGGTACCGGGATGTGTAATTTCAAGCATATTTTGCTTATGAAATGACGATTTTTTACATCGAAATCGACAGCTTATAACTGTATGAAGTTTCAACAAATGTAACCACTAGACAAAAACACGAAACCCACACATTTTCATGATGATATCGTCTACCGTAACTGTTAGATTATCAGGACGATCAGTTTTAAAGTGTTTGTCACAGGTGTATTTCTCGTAATCATCACAGATTGCGTTGATATTATCGTTACTAGTATTGGTTGGACAATTGTAATAGGTGCACAATATCCCTAAAGATAAGAAAACAAAAAAAATTTTATTCGGCTAAATAAATCGTGATGACATGATTTCAACGCTAGTGAAAAGAAGTTAAGTCACAAACAAATAATTGAAATTCAAGAAAAAAAGTACCGTTCAGCCATATGAGGTAAATTGAATAACATTGCAGAAAAACGAGAAAACGAAGTTATATTCAGGAACAAAATATCGTCTGATTCAACAAAAAACACAAGAAAATAAATTTTAAACAAATGAGAAGGGTTAGAAACGAGGGAGACCACAACGAGTTCCGTAGCCATGAAGAGAATACAGTGAGAGAATTCATGTTAAGTACATCAACATTTCGCTGTTTCATGTGTAGTAATGGAAGAAAGTAGTGGCAACATATCTGACAATGATATCTTTTCGAACAATGCTTGAGCATTTGAGAGTGAGAGGAGCAACT